GTTACTGATCAGTTCAGCCCCCAGTTGGTTGGTAATAGTGAGGTCAATGATGGAATTATGACCTCGTGAGTTGAGGAATGTTGGAGTTGAACCTTTGTTGGAACAGGAGAGCCCTAGCGACGAGAGGAAATCAAGTAGTTCCTCTCCTCTTCTATTGCACAACCTGTTACCCCAAAGAGTGTGTTGGGAGTTGGTGTCAGAGCCTATTATGAGTGGTATTTTGTTGTCTATAGCGTATTTGGCTAGAGGTGTGGTTTCGTGGGATGGAGCTGGTCCATTAATATCCATGTACGAAGCTGCCAGAATTACTTCTGTCGAGCTAAGTTGAATCTTAATAGCAACTTGATCCGGGGTTGTGAATTGCGATAGTTCCCAACTTTTTTCAGCTAGGTTTTTGTGTATTACTATGGCGGCACGAGGCCTAATGTCCCCAACTTTGTAATAATACTCGGTTAGTTCTTTGCTTATTGGTGGAATTAGGTGTTTGTTATTAGTGTATGGTTCAGTCGCTAGTACAATAGGATTTTTCCTGCCATGAGTGTTCACCAGCAGGGTTTTCCAAGCGTTGTACTTGCGTTTAAGGTTGATTTGAGTAACAGAGTAATATTCATGATGAGTTTTACCTGTTTTTTTGGTATTGGGGACGTGGCGTGCAGCACCTGCAGTTACCCTCACCGGTCGGGTACTAGGACCTTTTGGATTGGGCACTGTGTCGGGGGGCTGGTCGAAGTCGAATAGCAGCAGCCAGCGTTTCCGGGAGAAAACTGTGTTTCTCTAAGAATGTCTCACCCGAAGGTGAGACAACCACCCAGATCCGCTGCCTCTGTTTAAACTCCGTCGACGGGCCCCCACCTTCATGTAGCTGCACAGCCACTGCCTCCCAGATGTTGGTGATCTGTATCCTATTCCACGGTGGGGTAGGATTGAGAGATAATGTGTTGTTGTGTATCAGTATATGGGAGATTATGTGCGCGTTCCCGCGCAATGTTGTTGAAATAGGTCCTTTAATCACAATAATGTCTGATGTTAAACGTAAATCAGGAAACCTGATCCGCTCTGCGAAAATCAATGTCTCATCTGTGTGATACATCTCATTACCGCTATCAGTCATGATTGTTTTGTAAATCCGGAGTTGTAGTATAGGGGTAATAGTGGTGGATTCCTTGGTGGTTGCTGAACGAGCACAGCCCCGATTGAAACCAGCACCCTCGCAACAAGGCTGTGAAGCCTGTGCAAGTGTGCCAATCCCACACGAGGCCGGCTCAGTCCCGCCTCCTCCACTGGTAATCCGGTGTTGTAGTGTAGGTGTAGTAGTGGTGGATTCCTTGGTGGTTGCTGAACGAGCACAGCCCCGATAGGAACCAGCACCATCGCAGCAAGGCTGTGAAGCCTGCGCAAGTGTGCCAATCCCACACGAGGCCGGCTCAGTCCCGCCTCCTCCACTGGTAATCCGGTGTTGTAGTGTAGGTGTAGTAGTGGTGGATTCCTTGGTGGTTGCTGAACGAGCACAGCCCCGATAGGAACCAGCACCATCGCAGCAAGGCTGTGAAGCCTGCGCAAGTGTGCCAATCCCACACGAGGCCAGCTCAGTCCTGCCTCCTCCACTGGTAATCCGGTGTTGTAGTCCAAGTGTATTAGTGAGAGTTTTAACACTTTCTGCGAATCGTAGAAAGATGTTTGTTTTACTACCGCGACAGTAATGATATGCCGCTAATAAGGTAAAGGTAAAACGGGTGCTAATGATCGGTATTAAGGGCCCGACCTTGAAGTACACACCCTGAACTTCTAAAACCCTATATGCTCAGGTGTGAGTGAAGGCTGTGAGAGCTCCAAAAGAAAAAGGGATCAAATGAGGTAAAGGAAGACGGTTGGCACGTGCGACCTACGTTCAGTTTTGCTCAGCTGAACAGTACAGCTTAGTCTCGGCTGGTCTTGTGATGCCGATTAAGCCCCCTTACCACGGCAAGGTCATTTGCTTTGGATAAAGCACCATTACCAATCACTATAGGTGAGAGAAACAGGATAGGATTGGGTCCTGGGCAGTAACTCCAGAGCAAATGGGCAGAGTCATAAGTGGTGCTCTAGTGCTCAGGATTGACTCTGCCGCTGTACTTTAAATCAATAAGTACCTACACGTGTGACAGACGCCCCAGCCGACAAGCCCCCTGACGCGATGCATGCGAGCCCAGAACAGAGTGCCTACACCCAGTGTCACGCCATGCTAAGACAACGCCGCCAGCTATCGACCCGGATGCTATCCCCACGAGCTACCTAGCGACTTTCGTCGCTTGGGTGCTCAATGTGGACTGCCTCCGTTACGACCACCAGCTTCGCCACTCAGCACAGCGGTCCCCTGGCTTCAGCCATCCACCCCAGTCTCAGCACACACCACACTGGGAACCACCAACCAGCACATCCAGACCCACATGCCAGGCCTCATCGAAGCTACCTGGTCTTTTGCCCGGAACCAGACAAAAGGGGGACAATTATAGCATGCTAACTAATATTTAGAGAATTTAGATGGTTAAAAGTGCCATAATGAGTCAAAAATCACATAAATGAGCATGTATTGAAATGATGCTGTATCAGGGGAATGTATCACTTTTTGGCTCTATATCAGGTTGGTATTCATAGTAAATTTGCAGTGATTTGTTGTGACACTTGTTTATGATCATGGAGAAGTTCGTAATTAGAGTAATAGTGGAATCAATAATCACAAAACACTGATTTAACTAGGCAAAACACTGAGTAAACTAGGCAAGTACTTTTACTACTCAAGCCATGATAATTTTGTCTCCTTAATGTGACAAATGAATCAATCAGTAACGTATAATACTTAATTGGATTTTTGAAATGTGATTATCGGTTCATTACCTTTCCTTTCAAAATGTCATTACAACTTGAACATTACATATGATTCAATTGTCACACTTTAAAGAAAATTACATATTTGGTAGCTAGATTTATGTGATTTTTGAATCATTTAAGCACCCAGATCAAAAATTATCGCTCAAAGACCTTCAATATGGTATATAAGCTTAGACATGGATTCAAAAATCACATAATAAGATTCATAGAATGAATATAAATTGTCATATCGTGCACTTAACTTAAGGCTTACTATAGTGTGACTTAATAGCGCACCTTTAACGAAAATGTGACTTTTGAATCATATTAACTGGTTTTAATACTATTTAATACTATTTTGTACCCTAAAAAATGATAGAAAGCCAATAAAAACGTTAGATGATTCAATAATCACTGCTCAAGATAGGCTCATTTCCAACGTTTAAGTTGTGATTTTTGACTCATTTAAGCACCAATAACAATTTCAGATAAGACATTCCATTCCTTACATGCATTATAGTCACCATATCAATTTTGGCTTCTTTGTGAATATTACTTTTCAGATTATCTAGTGTTGATTCATCTTGCATTTCTAATTGTGTGACTTTTGACTCATTGGCACACTAATAACGATAACTCCTGTGATATAAGCACTAGAGACTCCGTGATTTCAGGATCATGAAATTTAATCGAATTTCTAAAGGTATAGATAGATATATCAACCAACAAAGAACAATGACTATTTTTAAAACGCAATTAAAAAAATCAATCTCTAGTGCCACCTTTTTTTGAACGTGTCCATATGAGGACTCACACGGGAGAGAAGCCCTACAAGTGTAAGGAATGTTCATTTGCTTGCTCTTTTAAATCAAGCCTTATTAATCACCAACGTACTCACACAGCTCAGGAGAGAAACCCTACATGTGTAAGGAATGTTCATATACTTGCTCTGTTAAATCAAGTCTTGTCAGACACCAACGTACTCACACAGGACAGGTACTATAAAATTGCCAGGAGTGTTCTTATAAAACTGTTATACTTGTTCTGATCAGACACACCTTATTAGACACCAGCATATTGACGGGTAAAGAATGTCAGTTTACTTTCCCTTTTTTATTATTAGCTCACCAACGAAGTATGATCAATGTTTGCATATATACATATATTATAGTTTAGAAATAATCTCCACAAATGTTTGAAAGCAATTTTTCTGATTACAATTGCAAAATTGTGCAGTTTCTTCCACAAATGAATGAAAAATTAAGCTTTTGTTTGTATTAAAGTGAATCATAATCTTCGATATATTTCTAACCATTATATTAATTGAAACCCCATTGATTTTATCGTGTCTTTTAAAGTACATACGAATTAGTAAATTTATTGTATTTCCAATATTGCCGCTATATTAATTATTTATAATATAATGACTCTGAAATTTATTTACCGCATTTTATATCTGCATGGTACTGATGAAATATGGATGTCGATTGTCGAAGTGTGGTCTCAATACAAGAATTTATTGTTCCATTCATTTATACCCACTGGCAATTAAATATGTAGATATTTAAAATTGGAAAGTTTGTGTATTTTGATTTCATTAATCAGTTATTAATGCAGGAAAGTTCATAATGTCAACACGGAGTAAAAGATCCTCAACAGTTGCTGTTCAAGTAAAGAGTAACATAAATTTAATTCCTATCAAAAAGGAAATAAAAACTGAACAGGAGGAAGAGACTGGTGATATATCACATGGTTTCATTTGTCCGAAATGTGAAGCTCATTTCCTTTATGATGATTTCTTTATGGAACATATCAGAGAACATCATGGTGAAACAATCAATGATATGTCTACTAAAAATGTCTTGTTAAACTCTTTACGATCATCAGTCAGGTTGGGCAAAGAAAGTACTTATCCTGTTGGGAAAACTTTTAAATGTGACGATTGTTCTTATACCTGCACTGAGAAAAGTGATCTTGTGAAACATTTAGGTATTCACGCGGAAGAGAAACCCTACAAGTGCAAGGAATGTTTATATTATAGTGCTCGAAAAGATCATCTCACATTACATATGAGGACTCACACCGGAGAGAAACCCTACAAGTGCAAGGAATGTTTATATTGTAGTGCTCGGAAAGGTGATCTCAAAAAACATATGAGGACTCACACGGGAGAGAAGCCCTACAAGTGTAAGGAATGTTCATATACTTGCTATGATAAATCAAGTCTTATTATACACCAACGTACTCACACGGGAGAGAAACCCTACAAGTGTAAAGAATGTTCATATACTTGCTCTGGTAAATCAAATCTTATTATACACCAACGTTCTCACACCGGAGAGAAACCCTACAAGTGCAAGGAATGTTCATATTCTTGTGCTCAGAAAGGTCATCTCACATTACATATGAGGACTCACACCGGAGAGAAACCCTACAAGTGCAAGGAATGTTTATATTCTACTGCTCGGAAAGATCATCTCACATTACATATGATGAATCACACCGGAGAGAAACCCTACAAGTGTAAGGAATGTTTATATTCTAGTGCTGGGAAAGGTGATCTCAAAAAACATATGAGGACTCACACGGGAGAGAAGCCCTACAAGTGTAAGGAATGTTCATATACTTGCTATGATAAATCAAGTCTTATTATACACCAACGTACTCACACGGGAGAGAAACCTTACAAGTGTAAGGAATGTTCATATACTTGTTCTGTTAAATCAAATCTTAATAAACACGAACGTACTCACACAGGAGAGAAACCCTACAAGTGTAAGGAATGTTCATATACTTGTTCTGTTAAATCAAGTCTTTTTATACACCAACGTACTCACACCGGAGAGAAACCCTTCAAGTGTAAGGAATGTTCATATACTTGCTCTGTTAAATCAAATCTTATTAGGCACCAACGTACTCACGCGGGAGGGAAACCCTACAAGTGCAAGGAATGTTCATTTGCTTGCTCTTTTGAATCAAGTCTTGTCAGACACCAACGTACTCACACAGGACAGGAACTTTAAAATTGCCAGGAATGTTCTTATACAACTGTTATACTTGTTCTGATCAGTCACACTTTTAGACACCAGTGTATTCACGGGTAGAAAATGTCAGTTTACTTCCACTTTTAGATTATTATTTTACCAACGAGGTTTGATCAATGATCGCATTTATTGTTTCGAAATAATCTCCACAAATGTTTAGAGGATATTTATCAGAGCTTTCCTCGAAAATCTAGCTTCCGGTACTTCAATTGCCGCTCACAGTGAACGAACTTATTACAATTACATAAATATTTTTATGCCTAAAAACTTGATAATGGGCCCTTGGAACGGTTTCGTCGAAAGTCCTTCTTTGAGATCTTCTTTAGATATACATTAAAACCCCGATTTACTGCAAACCCAGGTTTATCGTGGTCATTTCCCACGATGTATGTATAATTTTTTTTCAAAATTTAAATTTACTTTACATCAATGTATTATAACTACATTTAAAAAAACCACAATATCTCCTGTGAGGCTAGGAAATTACCCAAACCGCGGCGCCAACATCGGGGTTAGTAAGGGTTTAGTACTAGAAGCGATTTCGTGGCAGAATGTTGTAGTTGGACTTTCTGTAACAAACTGTGCCAAGGTCTCCAAATTGGGGGTTATATTTTCTTGAGTTTGAAGTTATATCTCAGGTTTGGCCCAAACTCGCACAGATTGTTTCTGTTGTAGTTATTTTACTATCTGGAAATTTGATCTACACGATCTCGAGATAAATGCCTTGGTACCACTCAAAACCACCAATTTGGAGATATTTCCTCGTGTTTGAAGAGATATCTCAAGTTTGGCACATAGAAATTTGGCCAAACTCGCACAGATTATCCCTATTATAATTATCTTACTATCTGAAGGTTTCAAGAAATTTGTATTTCTATGTTATTTTTAAAAACACTTGATTTTCGACCATTTTATTTGGTACAGTTTTGTAGAAAGTACTTCTGGGATGTTGAAAAGGCTTACTGGTAACGTCCGCGGCGGTGACATTGTTGGACAGAAACAAGTTTGATAAATCACTTGCTTCAAATTTAAGCGCGCGAATATTTTTTCGCAATCTTATGCGACGACAAATTCTCACAACTAACTTTCTATCCACAGTAGTAGCAATGTCATCAAGATTCTTCTCCCAATTGGGAGACAGTTCTGACGACAGCTCGTCGTCAGATAGTGAAGTTGAAGCCCCAGTAACCAGACAACCAGCTGCTAGGTCAGTACTTAACTCTGTTTTACCGCAGTATTTTACAATTTGAGTGCGAAATATAATTTAACTTCAGTGATCAGTTTCCAAAATGTTAGCCCGTAGGCGGACGATCGTTCTTAAATAATTTCTTACAGGCAATACTCGTCAATATTAGAAGAATCAGACGAGGAGAAGCGTGTCGTGAGAAGTTCGAAAGATAAGCGGTTTTCTGAGATAAATGAAACGATCAAGGCTATCAGAAATCATAAGAAAATCAAGGATATAACCAAAGTTCAGGAAGGTAACTAGAAAATATTGTTCTTTTCACTGTTTTATTACCGAATGACAAATGCTAACCCAAGAAAATAAGTTTGCAAAATATTGAGGAACAGATTAAACAACAAGTTAATTAACAATTAACAAATTAAACGACAAGTTAATTAACAATTAACAAATTAAACAACAAGTCATAATCTATTCCAGGTTTTACCAGTCTTTGTCAGATTTATGCTAAATCTCAAAGTGTTATCGCCAAAAACGGCTGTCCCCGAGCTTTCATTAGATGTATTGCTGATTTGGAGACTTACGTCACTGAGGTATGTCAATGTTTTTGTGTTTGATCCACTCTCTTTCTATGATTAAAATTTTAAAAATCACAGTCAACAGTTAAAATTCGACCTTTTTCGGTCTGCTTTCTATTGATTATTATTTGTTTCCTGAAAATTCCTTCTTTATTAAGAATATTTGTTTTTTAGTTCTGGGGAGACAAGGAGGGTCGAAGCAAACTCAACAAAATAAACTCAAAGGTGAGTTAAAGGAGATACTAATAAATTTGTAATGGTAACAAAAGAAATGACTTGCTCTCATTTAAAATATGAGGATTTATATACATTTGTCATTAAAAAAGAAATGTTTTTTTTTCGTTATTTAACTTAATGATGACGTTTGTAGGCTCTGGCTGCTCTTCGTCAGAATGTGAGGAAATACAACAAGGACTTTGTGACAGAGATTGGAGCATATAATAAGGTAAGAAGCCCGATTCATTACTTTTTAAAATACGTACCCGCAATTCAAGTTGCGATTATAATTTCTCCGTCGAAAAGCGTTATTAAGCATTTTAGCCATATCGAATACATCTTTGTAGACTGTAGAATCCCTTGTCATTTTAGGATCCTGAGAGTTACGAGGAAGTTATCGAGGAAGACGAGGACGAAGTCGGTGAGTTTAAATCTATAAATTCAGAGAAAATATTCATTGAATTATATATAATGTGAAATTTCAGTCTGCTGTCTGAGACTATCGGTTCATTTTGTTGTCGGTGACGAACCAAAATGTATTTCAGAAAAGTCAGATGACGAAGGTGTTGGCTTTGCTCCTTCATCAACAAAGATTGCCAAGAAACCTCGCACAACAGTAAGTTTTGACTAGCTGGCAGTTTAAAGAATCAAAATTTTGTTACCAGTTCTAGTTGCTAAATGATATGATTGTGTATAAAAGGACACACTTCAAGGACAACAATGAACCCACAATGAATGTTGCAATTACTAGAATCAGGAACATTGTGGTCCTTGTGGTCTACATTGTTCCTGCATTGCCGGATCGAAAAGATTTAAAGAATGTCTCTTGGCTTTTCGAATCTTACGGATGTCTACATTATAACACTGTAAATTACTACTTAATTATAATAAACGACTCTTTGCTACGCAAAAAAGTTAATAGCACGCCATTAATTGAAATTTACTATCAGTCATCAAGAGGTGATGACGAGGAAGATTTGGATGACGACAGTGACGACATGTGGGGTGACGACAGTGAGGATGAGAGCTCTTCTGACGATGAAGTGCCTGCTATTGGTTACACTGCCGCTTACTTCCTCAAGAGGTACCTTTATATCAGACTTTCAAACTCTTTTAGTGTATTTGTAAGTTGGTAAATAACTCCGTTGTTACGAATACAATTTTACAAGTTGTAACTCGTAAGATCGAGGTAGGAGCGAGGAACCACAAAGCTTTCACCAAAGTACATATAATATGTACCTTTTCTCGCGACTCACATAAAATGTCCCCAGTAAGGACGATGACAAGAAAGACAAGCCTGATCGAAAGAAGAAGGCTCCTCGACAGCCTGCTAAAGTGGCTGTCAGCAAAGAGGACGAGGGTTGGACCACTGTTAGTGGAACTGACAAAGTCACCAAGGTAAAGGAGCGTGCGATGTCTTGAAATATTTCTCTATAATATCAACTCTCAATTCTGTTGAACTCGCATGTTTCCACTCCTGAATACTAAAGAGAAACTGCTGAAGCAGGTGTGAGTAGTCAGTCAGTGTCTAACCTAGCACATGACCCCCAGGAGAAGCCATTGTTTGAAGATGACGCTGAGATCACAGTGGAGCTGGTGAACCAGAAGATAGCAGAGTTGTCCTCGGTGAGAGGACGTAGGGGAGCTAAGAGGCAGAAGAACATTGAGACTCTCGAGTTACTGTCGGGTGTTTGTGTGTCTGAAGAACTCGGTAGGTTGAGAATTGAGATAATTTTAGGGCCCTATTTAGTGTCGTCATGAGGAGAAAGGTTAATTTTAAGTCATTAGTTATTAGATAATTATTAATTATTAATTAAAAGTTCTAAACAAGGGAGATAAAAAACAACGCCCTAGTCTAATAGTTCCCTAAAGAAATAACTAAATGTCAAAACTGTAAATTTCACTAATTCATTTTGATCTTAAACATGGCCTGGGACGTGTTCAAAATGATACTGATTTTTGAGTCTTACTTTTAATATCCTTACGCGTTTTGTTTTCAGGAATACCAATCCTAGCTAAGTGTATGTACTACACTTGCCTCTCAATATTCGACTATAACCCTAACATGGCTGTATGCATGAAAGTCGAGGTTTGTTCTCTTCTAAAATTACTTAAACTATTATTTTTTCTCGTATAAACTACAAAGTACTTCACAGAATCAATGTCTAAACTTATTTTTTGCATTACTTATTATCAACAAAATCTCTCTGTTTTACCAAAAAAACTCTTCCTAAGATCTGGGTACAACTTCTGACTACACTGGACAAGTTGCTGACTCTGTTGGAAGAACACAGAGAAGTTATTTTCAACGAAGGAATGCCTGAGGAGGAGGAGAACATGGAGGTCAGTAACCGTGTTAATCAGTAAAATAGTGGCCGGGTAAAAAGTTTACTTCGTTTAAGTAATTATGACTTTATACCCGTTTTGACACCTGCAGTTTGATATCTTGATTAAAGAAGTGTATTATTGATTGTCTACTAGTTTGGTAAACGGTTCGGACACCCTCAGACCTTGCCTATCACATGAGGTAAGAGGTTTTCGAGACTTCTCAATAGATAGTAATCCTAGATATACCTGTTCTCAGATTCGTGCTCCAAGGCTTATGTTTTTAATTGAGTGCATGCTGACAACCATTCCTCGTGCAAACGTTGTTATGTGATTGTCACGTGACATATAATGTGACTAACCTCTCTGACACACTGGACTCTCAGTGTAAGTATAGTCGGCCCCTCCAGCACATGTCACCTTGTCTGCTCCAACCAGTTGGTATGTACCAGCACACTTTAGTCTATGTGTGGATCTGTAGGTTACAGGGAAGGTTGTTGAGGGTTCTTGGAGTTTTATGTGGTTCCACGATGGAGGTAATCCCGTACACTCTGAAATGAAAAAATTGAAGACTACTGTAATGTATCTTAAAAAGGATTAATAAATGATTTCAAACGTCTACTTTAATCGAAATTTGATATCTACAGTGAAGATTTAAGAGCATTGTGCGTGGCAAATTGATCATTTGAGAACTGATTTTTAAATCACAAATACATATAGTTAATAGTAGTGCGTTTTTACCTCCCTTTCTGTACGCCACAGCACCCTTAATTATACCGATGTGAGACACAACTTGACTCCACTTTGAGTAACACTCCGTGTAGTGCTCCTCAACCCTGTCCCTAAACCTCATTCTCATAACCTCTACCTCGTTACAGTAGATAACTAGAGTCTCACTAGTTTTGGCAATTGTCCAGATTTTGTCTGGGTTGTTGGGGACGTTTTTGAGCACCTCAGTGTACATGGGACGTTCTGTGGTGCAGGCTGTCAGCTGATACTTGTAGTCCTGGGTAGAGTCAAGAGTGTTAGCTTTTAGATTTGCACAGTGCACTCTTATGACAATCAGGCGTTTAAAATAAATTAATTCCAACAACTCAATTTAAATTTTATTACTCAATACTCTTCGACTATGAAAATCTTCCCAATTTGTCACAATTTTAATAATCTAAGCCATCAACCAACTCACTGATAGTCTGATAATCAAGGTGCCCACATATGTCTGCTGTGATTTATAGAGGTACAAATGCAACTCATCCCTACTGCTTCTGCTTCTCATTTGGAGAGGGTTATTGTCCACAATGTAAGAGATTACTGTATTGGAATGGGGGACATCTTTCCAGGTCTGGTCCTCTACAATCACTCTATCTGATGTGCAATTAACCATGAGGGGGAGGAGGGAGGGGATGGAGAGGAGGGAGGGGAGGAGAGGAGGGAGAGGAGGGAGAGGAGGGAGTGGAGGGAGAGGAGGGAGAGGAGGGAGAGGAGGAAGAGGAGGGAGGGGAGGGAGGGAGGGGAGGGGAGGAAGGGGAGGGGCGAGTGGGGGGGGGGGGGGCATTATAGTCAGTATTTCAAGTACTGTTGCGAGATTTGAATAGCTTTTGCTTATCACTATCAGCTGACGGAATATACCGACGGCCGTGAGCTTATTTGATCGTTAAATGTCACTTACCTCCATAGCAAATGCTTATTAACAGGAAATTCAATGCTAACGCAAACAGAGTTTTGCCTAGTTTCGTCATCTATCTTGGAACTAGAATTAATGAAAATATGTTTTAAGGAATATTTGAGCTGATCGATCAATAATAATTTGAATCAAACTATCAGAAAAATACAAAGTTTAACGAGTAGCGAACTAAATCTCTTTATGTGGAGGAGTAACGAATCGTAAGTCGACATAGATCGCACTTTAGCCGAGGGGTGGTCGAAAAATCGAATTCATATTTTAGAAGTTATTGGAGCGAAGCGCATTATCCCTGACGGAATCTTATTTGCACGGTACAAAATGCGTCCTAACGGCTGTTCATCTTGTAGTTGCACCAGCGGGCAGCGGGCCGAGCTGTAAATCATGCCCACAATTCGATTTTAAGGAGTCTAATGACTCAATCGCCAGATGAAATGATGAGATCTGCCTCCAATATCTCGCATCGCTCCATTTCTCTTCCACCTATAACACTGGACACTCATCAAATGGGGTAGTTGAACCGCTCCTTCCTTTCAAAACTTTTATCTTGGAAATATTTGGGGAATATAACTGTACGTAACATAATACGGGTTACGGAGTCATTAAAAAACTAGGAGTTTAAACTTCACACCCTGACCATTGACCTCCCCCAGGACCCAGAAAGACCTCTGACCGTGGCTGGAAGTATCCTGGTGATAATGGAGCGAGCTGACGATGAGTTTACTAAACTACTCAGAAATCTTGACCCTCACGGAACTGAATACGTGGACAGGTGAGAACTGAGAGCTATAAAACTCAGAAAACTGAGAGCTAGAACTGAGAGCTAGAATTGAGAGCTAGAACTGAGAGCTAGAATTGAGAGCTAGAACTGAGAGCTAGAACTGAGAGCTAGAACTGAGAGCTAGAACTGAGAGCTAGAACTGAGAGCTAGAATTGAGAGCTAGAACTGAGAGCTAGAACTGAGAGCTAGAACTGAGAGCTAGAACTGAGAGCTAGAACTGAGAGCTAGAACTGAGAGCTAGAACTAAGAGCTAGAACTGAGAGCTAGAACTGAGAGCTAGAACTGAGAGCTAGAACTGAGAGCTAGAACTGAGATCTAGAACTGAGAGCTAAAACTGAGAGCTAGAACTGAGAGCTAGACCTGAGAGCTAGAACTGAGAGCTAGAACTGAGAGCTAGAACTGAGAGCTAGACCTGAGAGCTAGAACTGAGAGCTAGAACTGAGAGCTAGAACTGAGAGCTAGACCTGAGAGCTAGAACTGAGAGCTAGAACTGAGAGCTAGACCTGAGAGCTAGAACTGAGAGCTAGAACTGAGAGCTAGAACTGAGAGCTAGAACTAAGAGCTAGAACTGAGAGCTAGAACTGAGAGCTAGAACTGAGAGCTAAAACTGAGAGCTAGAACTGAGAGCTAGACCTGAGAGCTAGAACTGAGAGCTAGAACTGAGAGCTAGAACTGAGAGCTAGACCTGAGAGCTAGAACTGAGAGCTAGAACTGAGAGCTAGAACTGAGAGCTAGACAAGTCAGTAAACTGAGAGCTAGAACTGAGAGCTAGAACTGAGAGCTAGAACTGAGAGCTAGAACTGAGAGCTAGAACTGAGAGCTAGACCTGAGAGCTAGAACTGAGAGCTATAACTGAGAGCTAGAACTGAGAGCTAGACAAGTCAGTAAACTGAGAGCTAGAACTGCAACTGAGAGCTAAAACTGAGATCTAGACAAGTCAGTAAACTGAGAGCTAAAACTGAGAGCTAGAACTGAGAGCTAAAACTGAGAGCTAGTACTGAGAGCTAAAACTGAGAGCTAGTACTGAGAGCTAGACAAGTCAGTAAACTGAGAGCTAAAACTGAGAGCTAGACAAGTCAGTAAACTGAGAGCTAAAACTGAGAGCTAGAACTGAGAGCTAAAACTGAGAGCTAGTACTGAGAGCTAGAACTGAGAGCTAAAACTGAGAGCTAGAACTGAGAGCTAGACCTGAGAGCTAGAACTGAGAGCTAGAACTGAGAGCTAGAACTGAGAGCTAGAACTGAGAGCTAGACCTGAGAGCTAGAACTGAGAGCTATAACTGAGAGCTAGAACTGAGAGCTAGACAAGTCAGTAAACTGAGAGCTAGAACTGCAACTGAGAGCTAAAACTGAGATCTAGACAAGTCAGTAAACTGAGAGCTAAAACTGAGAGCTAGAACTGAGAGCTAAAACTGAGAGCTAGTACTGAGAGCTAGAACTGAGAGCTAAAACTGAGAGCTAGAACTGAGAGCTAAAACTGAGAGCTAGACAAGTCAGTAAACTGAGAGCTAGTATAACTGAGAGCTAGAATTGAGAGCTAGTACTGAGAATCTCAGGTTCTTATCTCTTATTATCTCTTATCTCAGGTTCTTATCTCTTATTATCCCTTATCTCAGGCTATCGGACGAAGCTAAGTTGTGTGGTCTGATTCTGCGAGTAAAAGCTGAGCTAAGTCACAGAAAGGCTACCCACGAGGAAATGTGCAGGACTTATCTGAGGGAGATTGAGCATCTTTACTACAAGGTATTGTGTATAACTCCACTTTTGACCTATTTGGCGGCCACTTATTAATTTCATAATCGCACCGGTTTTTTTCCAGGGAGTGCAATTACAAAACTAACTGCACTGTTTTGAGAGTGACCGAAAACTTATTAGGTACGATTACTAAATTAATCGCACTGATTCCCTGAAAGATGCTGCAATCAGCAATGTATTATTATTATTATACTTTCGAGCCATATTCAGCAGGAAAGTAGTATTGGCATTACTTGCCCCGGCATTAAGTCAGGCGGTAGCTACAGAGAGAGCTCGTTGTCAAATTAGGAGCAGTCTCTAACCGAATACTTTACTAATGTGAGGTGCCGATCTAAGTATCGACTTAATCAACTTTCCGAGGTAGAATTGCAACTTCAAATGCAATAGTCCTTGAAGACAATCGTTAGGGCACAAATTTGAACTTATAGTTTAGGACAACATCTTTCCTTGTGTTTGAGATAAGTCAATCCTTACATTGCATTAATACAACACAGTATGAGGCAAGGGCAGATTTCTCACGGTGTCGGGGGCTAATCTCCTTATCAGTGTGTCACGTGACAGTTATTCCTCGAAATCAGTAATACGGGGTGTCACCTGATAGTAATTCGTCGAAATGGTAGGTTCACGTGACCACTGCGTACTAGTCACCAGAACGAATCATCTTCAAGCATACACGGCGTGTGCCAACGTATTCAGTGCTCTGAGACCCTGAGGCGTTGTGTGACCCGCTGTTGTCTCTTTATATTAAAGTTGATTGTTTGTTGCCGTGTTGGGTGGTACAATAACATCTGATAGTTGCTTGGAAATGTATTATAATGCATTTGATTGGCACTGTTTTATGCATATCATGAAACGGATCGTTTGCAAACGTTTTTAGTTATATGAAACATCAATGAGTATCAATCTAGTTTTGAAATTTGTTTATCTAATGACTGTTTCATTTGTTTGTGAGTACACTCGGGTACACTCCGGAAATCAGAATATCAGCTGCTCGGTGCTCTCAAAACAGTGTGATTAGTTTATGATCGCATTTTTTTGAGAGCAACTTATAACAACATAGTCGGTGCGATTATAAACTAATTGCATTGGTTATAACACCAGAAGCGTGGAGTTATACGCGAATCTGACTGCATGTATAATACGATAACACCAGTTATTGCACTCGGCTGCGCCTCGTGAAATAACTGCAATAATCGAACTCGGCTTCGCCTCGTGCGATTATTGTATCAATTTGCACTCGGCTGCGCCTCGTGCAATTAATAGTGTAATCGCATTATACGCAGTTAGATTAGCGTATATTATGATATATTCATTATACACTTAAAAATTATACATAACTACAAGGAGCTGTAAAGCTGTAAAATATGCCGGGTATTTATCTTTACATGACGTGTATTTAGTATATAAATCAAAATCACTGATTTAGCGGGATATTTTCCTTTCGCCCTATTTAACCCTCATAAATTAGTGGGACCATTTATAGCTAGTACTACTACCGACCATCCAGAGACTCCACGTATTGACTAAGAGGGACCAAAATACGGCAATGTTTGCGTGTTGAGATTAATGAACTAATTTAATTGTCTATTACAGGTGGACTATGACGGCGGAAAGGACGAAGGTCCAGATTCCAGTAGAGCTAAGATGGATGCCCTCTGTAAGTACATCTACCGGTACGACTCAACAGACAGGATCAGGACACGCGCCATGCTGTGTCACATCTACCACCACGCTCTTCATAACAGATGGAGTGAGGGTAGAGATCTCATGCTCATGTCTCATCTTCAGCAGAGTATTTCCCATGCTGATATCCCTACTAAGGTTATTTATTATAATAATATATTATAAGTATTAATAATATTAATTATATCTGTGTACTGAGTGATTTACTCTGATTTCAGAGGCTGCCGTTATAAACAATCGGCAGTTAATTGCTATCCATCTTAACCTAGCATGTGCATCTCAAAAACAGTTTATTTTAATTGGAAATAAACATGAACTATAGTACAGGGTGGGCCAAAAGTCAGTGTGCAAACGTTGGGTCTTATACCTCCGCTGAGTTTTATATTTGAGAGCTGTTGCTTTGCAGATGGCATACTGTACTTACTGGTTCGAGGATTCCGTCGTCAAAATTTGAAAATTCGAATATTTTAGACCACGCCCATTCAATATTAAAACACCTATATTGTTTTCTCTGAAAATCCTGAACGCCTAATTTTTTTAGAGACGGTAGATTATCAAATGTTGCATATGATCTGAAAAAATGAGGCAAAACGGATTAGAAATGACGAAGCTAACAAGCATTTTGTGTATCTCGTTAACAAATTGACTGGGTGATTATGTGACACCGTGACACGACACCTTAATTGGGCACCCTTAGCAATTCCCATAATGTTTAACGGGGTAGTTAACGGGGTCACCTTATCACGTGATTAGGTAAACCAATCACCTGATCACACGTAATGAACAAGCTTGTTATGCTTCATATCTCGGTCATCTGAGAAGCTAGAACTCTCATTCTTTCAGGGCAAACGTAATTCGAATGGCCAAACACAATTCAATAACATTTAGCTTGATCCGATTATCCAAACTATCAAAAAAATGTGAAAATGAACCTCCATTTGAAAAAAATGAACGCGAATATTTTTCGAGTTGACAAATTCCTCGAACCAGTGGTGGTACTAAGTCATACCAGAAGGAAGTATTTCAATTGGGCACTCAGTGACTGAGCTATTAAGGCCAACGTTTGCACACTGACTTTTGGCCCACCCTGTATTAACAGAATATTTCGCTTATTCCATATAATCCCTCACACAAAACGTATCTCAGATCCTGCACAACAGAACCATGGTACAGTTGGGTCTGTGTGCCTTCAGGAAGGGGTTGATACAACATGCTCACACAACCCTCAACGAGATCCAGTCCTCTCAGAAGAGCAAGGAACTTCTGGCACAGGGTCTCTCTACTCAGGTAACTCTCATTTGGTTTATCCTCACTTTGTGTACATTACCTTAGTCGGTAATATTATGGGGGGTCAAATTTGGTCCTTTTCAGGCCAAAGAACCATATTTACAACAGTCCATATTTTTAACACCCATAATTCCCCGCCCCACAATATTACCGACTAAGGTAGATACCAGAGTGAAAATAAGTCTGTTAAATTAAGCCTGAAAATAAGTCTGTTAAATTAAGTCTGAAAATAAGTCTGTTAAATTAATTCTGAAAATAAGTCTGTTAAATTAAGTCTGAAAATAAGTCTGTGAAATTAAGTCTGAAAATAAGTCTGTTAAAGCGCTATTCTGTAACCTGTTGACATGGAAACGTCTCGCCATCATAGCGAAGTCTTTCTTTCAGAGGATGAGTGAGAGGAACCTGGAGCAGGAGAAGATAGAGAAGCAGCGGCAGATCCCCTTCCACATGCACATCAACCTGGAGCTGCTAGAGTACAGTTACCTGACCTGTGCCATGTTGCTGGAGGTCCCTCACATGGCTGCTCATCAGTTCGATCAGAGGAAGAAGCTCAGCAGGACATTCCATTACCAGCTTAGGAATGCTGAGAAGAGCCCACTGGTAAACATCTTCTTCATTAGGCACACAGATACATCTCATATCCTTGAAACAAAGTTCGAATATATATTTTGCATCTGCTTATTCTCTAGTATTACTGTTTTATTTATTTGCCTAAGATAAATTGCTTCCTTAGATTGGACCTCCTGATTCGATGAGAGAGCATCTGGTGGCTGCTGCTAAAGCAATGATGAAAGCGGACTGGAAGACTTGTGCTGACACCCTGCTGGCTCACAAGATCTGGAATCTGATGCCTCATGCTGAGGAGGTTTACTATTATTTAGATTAACTTTTAATTGTATACATTTTGTAGTGAGTTGAATGTTGAATGTTCCAATGTAAGAATTTTCTAATAGCTGATATTTTGTTATACTGTTCAGGGCGTTATGATATTTTCGTTTCCAGGTGAAGGCGATGTTGAGACAGAAGATCAAGGAGGAGAGTTTGAGAACGTACATGTTTACTTACAGTGCCTGTTACGACTCCATCAGGTTTGGAAGCTAATCAGTTGATTTTGTTATATTCTATACTTTGTCATGTTGTTCTTAAGCTAAGTTTCTTTCTCACAAATATTCTAGCAGGATGCCAAACTCTTTTGAGCTCTAATCTCACGACTTACCCCCTCAGCCCGTTGGTTCTATCTCAAATGTTTAGTCTTACCAACGCTCAAATCCACGCCCTGATAAGTAAGATGATACTGAACGACGAGCTAAAAGCAAGCTGGGACAAGCCCACTGATCTGCTGATGTTACACAGGGCTGAAAGCAGCAAACTGCAGAGTCTCACCAAGCAGACTGCAGACAAGGTTATACATTTATTATTATTTAACTTACAACTTAGACTGTTAAAATGCTTTATAAATGTTATTATACCCTGACTGTCACCGAACTTTCCAAACAATCTGATGTTAAATAGGTTTACTTTTTTAACAAGAACTTAGTTTTTAACCATTGTTCACGCCCGTTAATCCGCAGCTGACATACGTGATGGACAACACGGAGAAGATGCTACAGCAAGGAACACCCTTCACTTCAAAGGGAGGATCTGCCCCTTCTGGACTGCCTTGGAACAGCACCTGGTCCAACATCAACAAATGTACGATACTCTGCCTTCTTTTTAGGCGTTTTTTATCTTGCATCTTTTCAATTTCATTGTTTAAATCTGATGAAAGTTAATTAGAATGCATCTTTTTTTAAATAAGTTACTGGCAATTTTATCTCTAAATAGCCTCGGTCCACTTTAAATTTTGGTCTCAAACAATACTGAATAAGATTATGGACTCTGGTACTATAAAATATTGAGTTGAAGTTTCAAGTGGGTAACGGGAAATGACTGACGGCTGTATTTCTTATCAATCGTAATTAAATATGTTTTCAGCTGGAGGACAGGGCAACTCGTACAACAGAAGTAAGTTCAGATACCAACTATAAACTCTAAATGTTATATAACAAAATAATTGATAATTTTCATTTGTAATTTGTAAAATTTTGATTTGTAATTGTAATCTGTCTTCCCAGCAGGAGGAAACAACTACTCGGGAAACAACTACTCGGGAAACAACTCATACTCGGGGAACCGGAACAACAACTACCAGGGGAACCGGGGAGGTTACCAGAAGAGGAACTACGATTCTGCCAACAATGCTGGGTACAACAGAAGAACTGGTGGGAACTACAACAATTCCGGTTACAACAACTACAACAGGTTCGTTCAATGAACTTCTCATCGCAATACTCACCACTTGCACTAGTTGAACCCAATCGTATTTTTTACCTTCGTCCTATGCATTAAAACGCAGTACAGACTTTGATAACTTGACTAATTATATTGGAGATAAACTCAATAAAGTGATAAAGTTAGTTACATAGAAGAGTAAGTTAAAACACAGTGAAGATAGCCCCATCTCTCTTCCCCAGGAAGCAGAACTACTCACAGAACTACTCTCAGAATGCCTACTAATAAAGTTGTCCGCTAAAGAGGAAGGAGTGAGGAATAAATACCTGCTCATCACGGACACTCTGGCCCCTGACTGGGGTCTGGGACTTCAGTCTCTCAGTTACCCTGTCAGGGGCCATTTTACGAGTTGTAATTTATTACTATAAGCGATGTTAGGTCGCGCGGGTGTTATCGAATCAAGAATGATATTGTTGTCGTGATTCTTCTGGTTTTAATTTTTCTTTAACTGATTTATATGCGACATTTTATTGTTTTCTGAATGCCGGGGCTCAACGCACTGTTGGAAATAAATGTCAAAACAAGTCTGATAGGAAATTTGTCAACAGTTTTAATCTTAAAATATCTCCTTAACAAGTTGAATTATATAACCACTAATCACCCTCCCCGACATATTATAGTGATGACATCATCTGAGCGTCTAGTTAAGTTAGAGGGAATATTCGTAGAATGCCTGGAAACGGTTGTCAACAATGACAGTATGATTTCTGATGACAAATATGAGGTCATCATGGATATCCACAACAAAGCTGATATGTGAGTTTAATCTTTTATCTGTTAATTTTTAATCATTAATAAATAATAACAACTGAGATATTGTCTATACCTACCGCATATAATTATTATATTGATAACTCAATTACCTCAAATTAATTACTACAAAATGTTTAGGTTTACAGAACAGTTGCAGTTGTTACGTCGTGAGGTGGCACAGCAGGAAATTCTGTGTGGAAGCAAAGAAAACACCCTGCGAGCTGAAATAGAGCAACTCAAAACTAAGATTACGCGGAAGAAACAGTTGATAGCTAAATCTCAGGTTAGAATTGAATGATTAACCCTCGACTGGGTTGGTTTTTGTGGTGGTTGACGTTTTAATTGTATTCTTTAACGTCTCCGAGGCAGTTTCGTCGCAGCTCAAAGTCTAGAATTAATAATAATTAGTAATAAAATCCAATAAAAATAACGACCATCTCATCACGCCGTAATCATAATCTTTTTAAAACCCAATATTTCAGGTGAAGTTTGAGGATTGGAAGAAACGCCTGACTTCTGTCGAGGAGTCAGCTGTCAAATCTTACTCTAATTTTGATGGTAGCTGAAGATAATGTGCGCTGATAAAATATCTCGCTAACTTTGACAGCACCTTTAAAGATCCTTGGATACTACTGATTGGTTTGTCGAAAGGAATTTGCTACTGGTGTAAACTAAGAAAGAAGGAATATCTTACAGCCCAGATCACCAGTGATACTTGGAGCATAACTTCAGCAGGAGGCTGGAACAACTAACCGTAACGACCGGCCACAGCCAACTTTGATATCTGTGTCTGACATTTTGTAATACTTTGGAAATTACGAGTGTTGCTATTCTCGGGACTAACGTGATGTCAGTTATCTTACAGTTATCTTACATGTCAATAATCAATATCCTCACTATCTTTGTAAATGAGAACATCAGAAGATTTTTTTCTATCTAGAATTATCTAGTGTTCTAATGCGATTTTGTAATGATGCTTCAAAATACTCCACTGTTACCCGAGCCTTCATTTTAAAATGAACATGTTCGTATCACGTAACCATGGTAACGTGCGGCTGTGGTTCGTACCAGAGAACCGTACTTAATTGAATAAAACTTAGTGTTTCGTAGGTAGTTGATAGCACTAGAAGTCATTTTCCGAATATGGGCTCATGTCATATTGGTTTGTCGAAACTTTTAGTTTTAATTTGCTGATGATCCAAGTTTTCTGCTAATTCGTCATTATTAGACGTAATTGTGGCCAGCAGCTCCCTTAATACACGCACATCTGTGCCCTTGTAGAAGCTTGAATTCAATTAACACTCTGTAATTGTGTATTAGCGAACCATCGCGACAATTGCCCGGTTTCAATTAAAGTTGGTGATTGTAAATTGTAACTTGTATTTAACCTATTTTTATGTTATTTTAAATATTTATGTTATTGTTCATGACATGTCATGTTGCTATTTTGCTTGTTGCTTTATTGCTTCACTTTTTAAATCATGAGCCTGAGTGTGAGAGTGTACATAATGAAATGTTAAGTGAGATCAAGCACACTCTGCAATTTTAAGTACAAGTGACAGTATGTTCTCGCAGACCGTGCCTGTGTTGAAGACCGTGTGAGTTAACCATAGAACAAAATGAATATAATGAATCCTTATATTATGTTGTATAATATCCAGATGTAACTAAGTTTGTGAGCACGAGAGGAGACTCTTACCATGATGTGAAACTTTAAGTGGCTCTTATAATGGGTGTGGCGTGTTGAACAGAGTAATTGGGAATCCTAAATGAGGAAGGGAGGGAGGGACTATTACTCGTGAGATTAACTGACCAGATTATCTCAGGATATGATAAACATATCAGACTTATCTGATAAAGATCTCCGAAGCCTGCTCTTTGAACATGGTAAAACCCCTGGTCCCATTACCGGCACCACCAGACGAGTATATGAACTCCAGCTCCAGTCCCTACTGACTGCTGGGGCTGGATCTGCCCGGGCTACTGCGGACAAGAAGAAACGGAGGCAAACTTTGGATACACTTAGGACGACAGAGAAACCGAAAATGGAGCCTAGGAGGTCGGAGAAGTTCATTCCAAAGATTCCAGCGTCTCTGAACATATCAGACTACTCGGACACGGAGCTCCCGGAGTTGAGTCTGACCCCCGAGTTAGAGACCCCTGAACCACCCCAAAGCCTGGTCTTCTCCAACTCACCCCGACCCACTAGAAGGAGAACTACTCGGGACAGAGAAGGCAGGGATCTAAGTCTCTTTAGTGACAACGAGGATGAAAAGAAGCCAGACAGGAAGAAGAAATTGCCAGCCGAGAGTAAACATCTATCAGGTTGGTGGAGCGTTCTAGCGGTGGTGGTGGTGGTAGCCGGTACTCTTGCTACCGCGTATTATCTGGTCGAGCCTGATGAGGATTCTTCTATAGCACCTCCCTGTTTGAACCTAACCATTGAATATATGACCGTGGGACAGTGTGACAGGCTCTTCCAAAAGCTTTCCAAACAAAAGTTTGAAGTGGACAAGTTTTCAGGGGAAGTAATGTGTGGGGATAAAGAAGGTGATCTCCATCTTCCGTCACCGGCTGGTGGAATGGAACGGCAACTTCTCTTCTTCCTGCGAGATGATTTCAATTACAGCATTTATTCCAAGAAGGAGGATACTTACTTCGAGTTAGAAGGTGAAGCAGAATTATCCTCATTTAACCCCAAAGCAGAAGCCTTTTTCTTCAGCACGAAAACCCCGCATATTTCATGGTTTTGTCGTGTGTCTCAAGTTTTGAGCAACTTCGCATTCTACATTCTAACATCAGCTGCAATCTTAGTCATGGCCCAAATTGCTCACAAAGTCTACCAGTGGAAGAGGGCTAAAGAAAAGCAGGCGATGGGAGAAATGTTCGAGTTGATAGATCAGATAATAGAGGAGCTGCAAAGGAATTACAGCAAATACCAAACAGACCCAGTCAACTACGTGCCGTACGTGGCTATCCCCCACGCCCGAGACCGGCTCCTCCTGCCCTCCGAACGGACTGCAATGAAACACATCTGGGAAAGGGCTGTCCAGTTTATTGCCCAACATGAGTCCAGAGTGCGTGTGGAGATGCGACGGGTACAGTCTGAGGATTTCCCTGTGTGGTACTGGTTAGAAGCCAGTAAATCACCTCCAGCCCAACCAGATAGCACCTCCCCAGATTTCCTATACCCTGACTTGGACTCAGAACTCCCCATGGAAAAGGGTAAAACTTCCACAGGATCGTAAGTGAAACATGTGAGACCCACAAATGTTAACGATATTAACGTTAAGATCATTTATCATTTGGGTCGTGCAATATAAGTTTAGTTAGTTAACATATTTATTTTACCTCCTTTTTGCTTATTTAATGTTAGCTGTAGATAATTTGCAACTTAATTGCAAATATAAATCCGATATTGATGAGATTTTTGAGATGTTGTAAAGTTTTTGGTCGACTTAAAACTAAAGCTAATGCTTTGATCATATTTGGGAAGAGAAAACAATTTGGTTATGTTAATTTTCCGTTATGATATGTTCTATTTGAACTCGTGTGCTTAGTAGATTCAAAACTATTAAACCAATTTAGAATTTTGTGGTAGTAGACAAGAAGCCTGACAGAGTGGCGGAATTCCACTGTAAAGTTCTATCGAAACGTACTGCGGTGGAATTCCACAGTCAACTGGAGAACTGGTATCAAATAGCGCATGATGTGAGCCAGATAATGCTGATTTATTTAATCTCAGAAACCTCCGCTTGCATTCCGCAGGGGGGGGGGGGGGGGGGGGGGGGGTACCAATGGCATAAATGGCATAATGGAGAATTGGCCAATAAAAATTTCCATTTATGCCATGAAACGTATGCCATTTATGCCATTTTTGATATAATACATTTCTATTTTCTTTATTTGTCATATGAATCTTTAACGATCATTCCAAGCGTTATAAAGCATGAAACATGTCTCTTATTCAAGTACTAATAATAATTTGCGAATTAGAAAGTCAAATACGAAGACCTAAGTTCATGGCATAATTGGAGAATTGGCCAATAAAAATTTCCATTTATGCCATAAAACGTATGCCATTTATGCCATTTTATGCCATTGGTACCCCCCCCCCCCCTTCCGCAGCTGTTTCGGATTTCTTGACACTGCCGATTTTCCTTTTTTTTCCCCCATAATTTATATTTTGAGTGTTCTTAGCACTGTATTATTACAGTGGCAACTGTTAACCACATTGTCTGACGATACAAATAGTGCTTGCCAAGTTATAACAATATTAGCTAATTCACATCAGCTGGGCATTTCAAACACGATTAAAATTTTGGCAAATGCTACCAGAAATTTATGGTGAATTTAGCACATGTTTTAGAAATGAAAAGGGCTGTGTTAGTTTTATAAGTTATTTTACTGTTTTTACGTTTTTATTTGTGACTGTGTGATTTGTTATATTTAAGGTGAGCAATTGTATATCTAATTTATCCTTCGACATTTTTGGATATAAAATTGTTCAATATTACATGGATTATGTTTCAATCTTAACACAAAGACTTTGAACTCATAACTCATTAAAAGCTATTTAGTGGAACTTTAATGATCGTACTAGAAGCCAAATATTTCCTTTGAAAACGATAATTTAATACTGTTCAATCAACCATATTGATGAAATTTCGGCATTTCATATTTACTTTTCTATTATTTACAAAATTTTGAAATAGTACAGAAGGTTGTTCCAGATTGTATTCATGTATACAAATGTACTTTTAAAAGATTTAAACGGACTGCGGACACCTTATAGGAAACAATAGTGAATAGGAATTGAAGCCTCTGAGCGCGTCAAGCACTAGAACACATGTAGTTAGGTGATTGATACACATCGGGGAAATACAACGTGAATCAAGCAGGTGAACGATGAAGTGTAAAATAAGTTGATAGAGTGTCATAAAGTGTGATAAAATAAGGGGTCGTTCACATATTACGTAATCAGACGAGGGGGGAGGGGGTTCCAAATGATTACGCTAGTGTAATTTTGACACAATAGCTATGTGTAAAACTGATAACGAAGGGGGGTAAAGATTGTCAAAAAATTGATTACGTAATATGTGAACGACCCCTAAGTTAATAGAGTATAATGTATATTATAATATATAGTACTTTGAGATGTTTACAGTACACTGACTGTAGATCATTCGTCAAAGTTATTAATGAAGCTTATCCAACATTGAAGATTGTTAAACAAATTCTGTCATTGTATAATATCTATATAACATAAGTAAAATAATTTAAAGAATTCTTTCTTTTGTTACCGAAGCACACATATCAGTGATCACAATTGCAAATTGTATGTTGTAGTAATCAAGTGTTGCGGCAAACACTAAAATGGGCCCATCTCAGTATATAGTATTTATTGGTTACGGTTAGGGTTAGTACTTAGTAGGTTAGGCCTAGGGTCATATTAGGGGCAATAAAAGTAACGTGTTATTTGAAGTGTGATAGATCGACATGGCTCGATATAGTGGCGCCCAAGTGTTGCTACTCACTACTGTTACGAAGTTTGCCACAGCTAGGCTTCAAAATTTTCCTCGGAGGACTTCGACGCGCCGCGCGAACTATAATTCTAGCTTCGCGCTCAGAGCAACGATCTCGACACTCGAAGCACTTTAAATTAACGACATCGTCAATCAAAAATGGAAAAGTTTGTTCGTAAGTAATAAGTATAATATAAGTTTATAAGTAGCTGACACACGTGCTGCAACCCCTTTTCGCGCGGAGTGCACGAGAGAGGTATATAATACAACGTGTAGCAAATAATTAGGCAATACGTTCGTTACCACATACCAGGGGACCCCGGGCTATAATAAGGTAGTGCGCCATGGACAGTGAGCCGCGCGTGCTGACTGTAGGATGGTTTTTAGTGCTAATTTCGGCTAATTTCTGCCAGCACAAATGCGTATTGAGTAACCTTCCCGGTCGCGCTAAATCACTCTACAGTCGATTTTCTTATTTCATCACTTTTAGTTTCGCATTGGATAAAGCACATGTTATATCCGCGCGTTACGTGTGATCATATTTAATCCTGATTTCCCAATTACGTTTCTACTGCATGCAGCTTTATACTTTGGATTTCAAACTTCGAGTTTTCGTCAACAGTCAATAATTATCCATGATTCATCTGCATCAGTGCCACTTGTGTTATACCTTATATATAAGTTTAATGAATAGCTGTTAAAAATGTTGATCCTCAATTGCTCGCAGGTGTACTGACATATGCTATAGGTACAAATAGAATTGTAATCGATCCTAGAAATAGTGCGCAGAGCTGGTTTTGTGGTTAAGTTTTGTAGTTGGAAAGTGTTTTTAATGTAGAGTGGGATCAGCTCTGAGGATTTATAATTCGCATCATTTAGTCGTTTCAGAACCTAGAAATAGTGCTCAAAGCTGGTTTTGTGTTTAAGTTTTGAAGTTGGAAAGTGTTTTTAATTTAGAGTGGGATCAGCTCTGGGGATTTGTAATTCGCATCATTTAGTCGTTTCAGAACCTAGAAATAGTGCTCAGAGTCGGTTTTGTGGTTAAGTTTTTTAGTTGATTGAAAACCTAGACGGTGCCCGGGTGGTTCTAATGACCAATTTAAATCTTAATTTAAATCTTAACAAATATATTATAAAAATCGTAATAATCCCTCACAAGGGCACTGCACTAGACTCTTGATAGGAAAATGCCTCACTGTGTAGAACAGCAACTTTACGATGGAATTTAAACCTCATCTGACAAATATCGCGAAAACTTAAAGTTTTGTGTGCTCCAACCGCCAACGGCCAGAATGAATGACTCAATCAAACAAAAAATTGTATCACAACGGGACAAGTTCCCATCCTCATACAAACACTATCGTCCCTAATGAAATAACAACACATGTATTGTAAAAAATGCACTCTAGTGAAAGCCACACTCATCTCACTGATTTTTCTTCAGTATGAGTTGTCCCTCCTTTGATGTAGTGGTGCTTGTTTGGCTCAGCTTCTTTCTTCTTATGCAGGTTTTGAACAAGAAGTCTGTGCTTAACACGATCCTGTACGAGTTTGGGAGAATTTCTATGTGCCAAACTTGAGATATGACTTCAAACACAAGAAAATATCTCCAAATTGGCGGTCTCGGCGGAACACAGGAATATATTTCAAGATCTGACTGATAGATTTTCTTTTTTTGACACCACTTGTGGTACCAAATTTTGGGCTCTAAAACTCCTATTTCTTGGCCAATTTTTTATTTTTTCATGCTGATTTGGAGGCCATTAAAGCATTTGACCCAGTCAAAAAAGTTTCAGTTGTATATCTTTGACGGTTTTTGCAGAAATTCGCGTTAAAGTTGATGCCGTGGTGTCAGTAAAATGGTACGGATAAATATATATATATATTATGATTGGCTACTGGGACACGTCATACACACGGTTGGATTGTTAATTCGGTTGAAATACCTTTACATCCATTATCACCATAATCTCAAATTATTTGTTATATAGTAGTGTTGAAAGTATTAAAAGCATATATATATATATATATATCGTCTCGCTTTATATATGGACACGTTCATTGAAGTTTGAGGATATTGGTAAATATTAGTGACCCTACTAAATGGCACGATGATGTAAAATGTGTCACACTATGAAACTATATAAACCCTCTAACCCTAAGATAATCGTTTCATCCTCTAGATAAACTTTGTCGCATAACGATATCTTTATCAGACGATAAGATATCGCTTAAATGCGGCCGGCAGTGAGTTGTAAACTTTGTCACACTATAAAAACGTGACGGAGTTTATATGGACCCCTTGTTGCCGTGTTTGACCAAATTTTCGAATTTCCAATTCATAGAATAGCTTTATATGACTATTATCTACATATTTAGCGACTTTTTTCCTTAAATGGTAGCACCATGTAAACTCCGTCACACATTTAAGAAATTTATATGAGGGATGTTTATGACATCCTGACAAGAAATGCCGAATAGTCTAGCATTATTTTATGAGCTGAATGTGTTTGGAATTGTTCACATATTTCATTGTTATACGCAAATACAAATACAGAAGGCAGAAATAGGTAAATTTAGTCACAAAAATTTGTATGATATCTCAACATGTGTAAAATTGAGTAAATATTAGTATACCAACTTAAACACCCTATATTACGTACTATGGATCAATTAACAATATTTCAACCATACGCCGGTTATATAAATTATTATGTGGCAGTGATATGTTAACATTGAATAAATTTCAACACCTGAACAGGGTAAAAATTTGTAAATTTCGTCACAAAAAAATATTATAACTTTATTTGCTCCGTGTTGGCAAAATAACTAATTTATCGACATAGTGATGGTGATAAAGTAACATTATATACTAATTGAGGTATGATTCTTCAAAATAAGGGCAAGAAATGTAAATTTCGTAACATCAGCCATTGCATTAGTTAGATAGATTTTCTTTAATATCAACTGCCCTTATTATAGTTGGAATGGATTTATACAGGAAATATAGAAACCCATGCCCATTTTTCATCACATTGAAATTATACTGTTGGGGCAGGAAAAGTAAATTTCGTCACATTTCGGTAAATTAGTGATATCAAACTCAGCATTGTTAAACTTGAGTTCTGATTTGCTGAAAAATAACCTACCAATAATTCCTGGAAGAATATTGAATTCTAATCGGGGTATGGTTCTTCAAAATAGGGTCAAGAAATGTAAATTTCGTCACATCAGCCA